AGCTATAAAAATAAAAAATAAATGCTTAAATCCCATAATTTTGTGCAACTGTGAACTTTTACATAAACAAAAAATGCTTAATAAACATCAATATTAATTGAAATTATAAATAAATAAAAATCAAATTCTGCCAACATTATAAATATGTGAACATTATAAAAGAATGAAATAATTAGAATAATACATTGCAAGTGTCCAAAAAACAAACTGCATGCATGCTGAAGTGGTACATTTAGGCTATCTGCCTGAGGTCTTAATGTTTTTTAAATCCTGTTTACTGTCCACCATGATGTGAAGTCTGTAGTGCTTTGAATCTACTGTGTGCAGGTAGGAGTCCCTGGATCAAGACAGATCTCAATGTATTTCCTTCTCAAACCAAATGGGGCTGGCAAACATTGTGGAGATAATATTCTCCGCTTCCCAGATGGAAGGGTTTTGCATATCTCACACTTTCTACTCCCCAAAAAGCTGTTGCCTTGTATTACAGCTTTTGAGGAGACAATTATCTTCCTCAATGCAGGAAAAATAAATGAGTCACAGTTGATAGAGTTGAAGGGGGAAAAGATACAGCTTTATCTTTAATATGGGTAAGACTCCCCAGTTTAGACTGGCTAATACTATGTAAATTACTGCTGGTTCAGTAAACTAATGGGATTTTTGGCATATACCAGGCTTAATAGTATGGGCAGGGAGCCTTCTGCTACAATGATGATCTTCTAGAAACCTTTCTACTATCTTTTACTTCTCATTTTCATTCAAAAGAATGACCTGGTTTCTAATCTTTGCCTGAGGCCTGCTGAAAACTTTGAATAGCATTTATAAAGTGCTAAGAGGCCTTATATATGCGCACACATTATTTATTTCTATTTTTACAATTTACATCAAGCCAAGGATTTCACCCTCGCCACAATGCCCAGTCTGCTTCTCTCAAAGAAACTAAGAATTTTTCATAAATATATTTTCCTTTTGTCCCACTCCCTTCCCCATCCCTGAATAAGCCACCAATTATTCATATGATCCAAGGGTTAAGGATCGACAGCCCTGGAACTGAAGTTTCCTATTTATCCACAGAATACATACAGCCTGGGCAGTAGAGGCAAGCTTCCCAATGCTGCCCAACCACTGGGGCTCAGTTCCAACTACGAGCAGTCTCTCTACAACAGAGGACTGGTCAGTCTCTAGAACCATTCAGTTCTTGACAATATCAGCAGCAGAGAGGTCAGCAAGGCTGCCGGAGACCATCCATCCATCAGAAGTTAATGGCTTTTGGCCACTATTGATTTAGGCCAGTGAATTGGAAAAAGGTGTAAGGCTCTGCATCTATGCCTGAGTACCCAATATCCCGAGTTCTTCTAAATAGTAGTACAGAAAAAATATTGTCTTTTTACATCAAATTTATGTTATTTATTTTTTGTACAGTCCCCATCCCAAAGAGCTTTCAATCTAATTAAATGTCTTCTCTTTAAAAAATACACTTTAAGAGGGTTTTGCTATTTTCTAAAATAAATATGTAATTTTTCCACTTAGAGCAAGATCATAACGCACCATAAGGTACCCCCTATAGTCCCCTGAACAGCTGTGGGTCAGTGTGGAGAGGGGGATAAAGTAGTCTCCATGGGGCCACTATACCCCCTCCCATAGAGGCAGGTAGGAAGCAGGTGGCTAGGTGCAAGAAACCAGCAGAGCCTTGACTCTGCCTCTCCAATATGCCACTGGCCAGCACCTCTTAGCAAAGCAGGGAAGTAAATTGGTATAGGACAGTAGCAGATTGCTCTGGGGGGAGTTAAGGGGAAGCCGGGGTAGAATTGTGACTCTCAGACTGCTCTTGGAGCAGCACAGTTACTCAATGCTCCTTGCCTATGAACTGAAAGTAAACTCTCAATTTAAAAGATTTTCTCTGGCTATACCCTTAAGTCCATCCTAGAGAGGTGGTGGGAAGTTAGAACTCTCTCTTGTATGCAGACATCTGAGCTCGATGCCCAGGTTCCATAACCAGAGGATGTGCTCTGCACCAAAGGAGGCTAGACATTGTGGACCGGCCTCCAGATGTCAGGTTGGGCACTCTTCCACCTTATTGTCTGTGACTACCCCACAGGAGGAAAGTTAAATAATAAAAGGTTAGACCCTTCCTATCACACTCCCCCCCCCCCCAACAAGTCCAATCAAAAGGATAAAACTAACCTGCTGTATGTAAAATATCACCATTCAATCAGATTGCTTCTCATTACATCTTAGACCTGATTCTTCAAGGACTGTAAACTCTTGAAAGCAGAGACCATATCTGTAAATGCCTAGCACACTGTTGACACTATACATTTTAATGTATTTTGATATTCAGGGCCTCAGGCACCTTTGCCAAAAATTAAAAATACAATCAAAGAAAAAGTAAAATCAACTGTTGTTCCTCACCTCAAAACCAAAAGATAAAATAACCAACTACAGCAAATCAAGCCCAACCAATAGCCTCCTCCCTCCAACATATCAGCCATCATTATACCCTCCTCAACAACCTGGGTAAATAAATAGGCCTTACAGCATGCCCATTAGTTCAACCAATTCAGGCTACTGCAGACAAGAGGGGTGAGGAGAAATAGGAAAGATAGTAGGCTGCAAAGTGGAGGGCCTCTCATGATGAATGCTCTTCCAGAACTCCTACTTTAATACTTAGGGGGTTTCAGCTCAAATACATTCACTAATGGGAAATGTAGCAATATGGCATGGGGAGAATAGCAGTCTCTCAAGTAGGTAAATCCCTGGCCATTTTGCCTTTATAAACCAGCACTTTAAACTCCATCAGGCAGCCCATGCTGATCATGGACCACTGGTGGTGTGCTCACAGCTTGCATGACCTAATAAACTGACTACCACATTTTACACCAGCTTCAGTTTCTGGATTGACTTAAAGTGTAGCTTTACAGTAATCTAATCTTGAAGTGGGAAAGGGATGGATCACCGTAACCAAGGTTCACATGTGAAAGAAATGGATGCAATCTCCTAGCCAGACAAAGAAGGAAAAAAAGCTGTCCACAAAATTATTAGATGACAATTTAACAGCAACTGGAAACCCAGGATCCAAGACCCCAGACTGTGAAAAGTGGACACACACTATCAAGACAAAGGGTGGATCAAATAATCACTATAGCTTCTAGTTGCTTCCCTCAAGCTACCAGCAACTCTAGATTGAGTTTCAGCCAACTAGCTCTCATCCATGCCCCAGTCTCACCCAGGCACTGGGTCAGGCAGTCTATAACACTAGTGTATAGAATAACACTATTATTTTATTAGGTCAATTTTTCCAGTACATTTATACTATTGTAAGCCATGGAGGTTATCATGTTAACACATTTAATAGGGCCTTATTGAGACACAGTTTTGGACTTCCTTAGTAATGAAGGCTATATAATATGCTTTACAAGATTTTCTAAAATTATGGCTAAACGTATTGCAGTGCTACAGTAGCCACTTAAGTGTTATGTCACTTACACAGCCCCATTTGTCTCCAATGCTCACTTTTGATTTTTCCTCATATTCCACAATGCCCCATATTCTGGGAGCAATCTCCCAATTCACACAGGATTTGGGGGGATGAACTGCTGGTTGGCGGGCAGGAAGCAGATGCCACTAAGGATTCATACATACCACACCACACATGCAAACTATGAACCTTGTGCTGTATCAGCCACCAGGCCAAACTCTTTCCTCTGCAAAACCAAATCGCCTCACCATATCCATGAATTTCTTTAACAAAATACTAGGAAAACCACCATGATTAGAACTGTGTTCTGGTTTATCATAACATTTGATTTTTGTAACAGGATCTTTTATAACAGGATCTGCAATGTTCAGCAGCTTGAGCACCTGATTTCGAGTTTATTTTTAAAAGTGCCTTTAGGATGGCATCAGCCCTGAGCTGTGTGGCTCACAATTGCACTACACTGCAATGTTTAGGGAGGCGGACTCCCACAGATCCTCACTTAGGGCAGCCAGTTGCTAAAGCAGCACCATCCTGCAAGAGAGATTCGGGCTGTTGCACTTCTCCAGGGCAAAACCTCACGTTTGAATAAATATCTCCACATGGGAACGCTTCTCTGGCTGGAGAGGCAGCCCCATAAGCACCTAGCCATGCCCCTGACATACACAGAGCAACATGTGCCCCGGAGAGAGACCCGGCTGTCCCTGTTTAGGGAGGACAGTCCTTATCCTCAAGGCAAGCTTGGCTCTGCTCTCCGGCCTGTGGCTATTCCCCAGCTGTGCACCGCCGGCGGACACTCCCACGCCCCCGCGGGCAGCCCTAGGCACACCCGGCACTGCCCATGCCGCTGCGGGCAGCGAGCGCTTGCCCGGCCCCTGGCGGAGAGAAGGAGCCGCAGTGACTGGAGAAGCGGGTTACAGCTGCCAGCAGACGCGGGGGGAGGGGCGGGGGGCTTGCCCGGGGCATGCAGGCAGCCCCGTGGCTCCCGGAGGCAGCGCTGCTTGGGGGTGGGGACTGTTCTGAACCCCATCTCGGAGGGGCAGGTTCTCAGCAACCCGGTCGTGGCGGGCGGAGCAGGGCAATAAACTGCCCCTGCTCCGTGCACCGACGCAGAGCGAGGGCTGCCCCGCGTCTCTCCCGCCTGGCCTAGGCGGGGGAGCAGCCAGCTGCAGGGGGGGTCTAGGCAGCGGGCAGTCCATTCTCTCCCCCCGCAGCTCCAGCAGCCAAAGGGCACCTGAGGAGCCTGCAACAGGCGAGGGGGGAGGAGGGGGAATCCAGGGCTCATGTGCCAGGCTGCAAAGGGAGATCAGGAGTCTGAACTGGGGCGAGGGGGGTGGGTTCAGTTTTCCAATCTAATCCGCCTCCCCAGCCCTGCAGCTCCTCAGCGCCGCAGAGAGCCCCCTGCGCGGCTCGCGGACGGGCTCTGCCTGCAGACGTGTCCCTCTCTCCCGCACAAGTTGCACTAACTTGGGGAAAGAGGGGGCTGCGGGAAAGCGCCCGCGAGGTTTCCGAGGAGAATGCAGTTTACCTGTGGTTAGATTGTCATTGATCTTCAAAGGCACCCTCAGGATGTAGACCAGGAAAAGCATGATGAAGAACCACAGGGTCCAGAGGTAAGTCCATGACCAGACGATGCAGGACTTGAGCTGCTCCAGAAAGCCTGTCCCAGCTTCAGCCATGTTTTTGAAGAAGAAAAAAAACCAACCCTGCTCTCTGCTGCCACAACCTCTCAGTGTGTATTTATGGGATGATTCATGCCTCCCAAAGTAGACTCCCCCTCCCCTAGGGTTTCCATACAGGCATCTCTTCCAGCCGCAACATAATGAAGAAAATATATTTAAAAAAACCCTACATTCACAAAATAGCCCCACCCCAACTCTGTCTGCCTCTTTCTCTGTGCCTATAGTGCTCCAGTTTACAGCTGCAGCTGGGTAACCCCAATTAAACTGACTTCACCGAAAAAGCACATGAACTGAACAGCCTCTGGGGTCTATTTGCAGGTGCTCGTAGCAAGCCGGCGCAGTGGTTGGATTCTGCACAGAGCTGAACCTCTAAAGACTGAACCTTTTTAGGGATTTTCTCTCCTCCACTAACTTCCACACTAGATTAGGGGTAGGGAGGAGGGCCTAACCTCTCCAGAAGGGGAAAGGCCCTCCCAAGGCTCAAATTTTGGGGGATGAGGGCGAAGAGAGAAAAGAAGATACCTTCCCCCACCGGGACAGTTCAACCCTTTTGAAAGGGGAAGAGAGATTTGGAAGCTTCTCTGAGAGTATAATCTCTAACACAATTATAGTGGAATCCCATTGGCTCCCTAGTTCTATGTGCTAAGGTTGATGGGTTGTCTGTAAATCTCTAGCCCAGTCACTGAGGCATGGGGCAATGGTAGCAGCATTTTTGCTACCTTATGAAGGTGGAGCAGAGGTACCTGTAAGAAAGGACATGGGGTTGTAAAAAACAACAACAGCATCCCGGGTTTTCACGTTATTCCAAAACCTGGGCTGATGTTCTCAAATCCAACTGAGCTCTAAACCCACCATGATTTCACATGGAATCAGGTTCTTTGCAAACTATTTGCACAGCCCTATTGCTAAGTTAATAATGTCAAAATAAAAATGCATTGTTACTTGTTTTTCCTAGCCTGTATATACTTGTCTGGATACTGCCCAATGGGTCTTGATCCATAAGAATCTCTAGTCTTTAGGCACTACCACAGTAAAAATAAATGAGTTTTATAAAGGTATAGATCAAGTATAACCCTACAGTAATAATAAAATTATTTACATTAATAAAGTGCATTTCTCATCCATTTTGTCTCTCCTTAAGACACATTTCTGCCATGACACAGGAAATTACTACTAGTAGTGCTGGCAGAATGCAGAGACTGTTGGGCATAATTGATTCTTATTTTTTAAAAAGATGTATGTAATACATATAAGCTAGGAATTATTAGGGTGCATGTGCTTATGATTTTTCCCCTCTTTCCTCTGTATATTGCTTGTCTAATAAGACTAACGCCTTTGGATTGGGATGATGTCTTCCTTGGAGTTGGGACAGTGCCTAGTACAATATGGGCAATATCAGAATAGAAATAATCATAGAATTTTACAAGCAAACTGATATACCAACTGGGCTCAGGGTTTACTTTATGTACATATCACTGAAATATGGCCATCGTGGGTGAAAAGTGACAACTCCAACAGCAAATAGAAAAGTTAGAGAAAAGTTTAAGACAGTAGGTTATGAATACTTCAGTGGCCAAATAAAATTGCATAAAGCTTTGGTAAACAGATTGCAATTAGTTCACTCAGGGCCGGCTCCAGGCACCAGCTGAGCAAGCAGGTGCTTGGGACGGCCAAGGGAAAGGGGCGGCACGTCGGGTTCTTCGGCGGAGGGTCCCTGTCCCTCTCGGAGGGAAGGACCTGCCGCCAAATTGCCGCCGAAGAAGAAAGTGGTGCGGTGGAGCTGCCGCCGATCGTGGCTTTTTTTTTTTTTTTTTCCGCCGCTTGGGGCGGCAAAAACCCTGGAGCTGGCCCAGAGTTCACTTACCTTGTGTTGGGATTTTCTTCTAGACCTCTTTCCACTCAACTACCCAAGAACTCAGACTCCAGACGTTGTCACTCAGGTATTTTTATTTGGCATACAGCAACACTACACTAAGATAATCAGATGAAAATGCAGGGGGAGAATGCAGGATACATCATAGATCCAAAGTTACACAGAAACCCTCTTACTTAATATACATTTACACAATTCATTGCTTTACACCTTTTGGGATTGGCTTGGCTACAGTGTAGGAATCAGTCCCTGTATAGCGTGCTTTGTCCACTCGCTGTCAACATTCGACCTACTCTTTACCTCATTTTTACATTCCTGACTTATCTTGACAATAGTTATTTTGTTTTTTGTAAGTGGTTCCCTGGGTGGTCCCTCCCCTTATCTTATCTGGTTTAGAGGTTCTGTCTTCTAGCTCACTGACCCATTTACCTATCTTAGTTAGTACAAATATTCTGTTTTCAACCTGCTGATCTATTTACCTCCCTAATCCTGTCTTCCAAGAAATGAGGCCTCCTCCATTTTTCATTACTCATGTCAAGCCAGGCCTACACCTTGTTAAGCTAAGACATCAAGATCAACACCTCTATTTTTTCAAACAGTGCCATGGGATTTTTAATCAATGACAAGGGCTTAGGACATCATCTTTATGTCTCATCCAAAAATGGTGCTTCAATGTCACGTGATGACCAAATCAACCTACTGGAGCATTGGTGTGATGGTGATTCAGAGGGATGGGTGGCACTAAATGAATCACCAAAGCCATTAATCAGAAAATATGATCAATTTGGAAAGGTCTGTTACAACATTCATGTTTACAGTTAGGTTATAGTCAGAAAATGAAAAGCGGCCGTCTATATATAAAACAGCACTGCATTTTGAATGTTTGAGTTTCTCTTTCTTGGTTTTAAAAAGGAAAGGAAGATTAAGATGCTACAAGCTTGTCTGCAAACTAATATCAGTGTTATTCCAATAGTGCACTTATTTCTTATTTTGTGGCAATAAACCTTGGTCCTCTTTGTAATCATAAAAGACAGTGCACTCTTTGACTAAAACAAATTTCCCCTACATAGTTTGTCTTGAAACTATTATTCTTTGTATTACAGAACTAAACATAGGATCATAAAAGTAGGGATGAAAGGGATCTCAAGAGGTCATCAAGTTCAATCCCCTGTGCTGAGGCAGAACCAAGTAAGCCTAGACTATCCCTGACGGGTATTTGTTCAACCTGATCTTAAAAACTGATGGGGATTCCACAGTGTCCCTTGGAAGTCCATTCAAGAGCTCAACTACCCTTATAATTAGAAAGTTTTTCTTAATATCTAACCTAAATCTCCCTAGCTGCAGATTAAGCCAATTACTACTTGACCTACCTTCAGTGGACATGAAGATGATTACCCACTCTATATATCAGCCCTTAACATTTTTGAAGACTGTTATGAGTCATCATTTCTCAAGACAAAACTTGCTCAGTTTTTTTTTTTTAACCTTTTCTTATAGATCAGGTTTTCTAAACCTTTTATCATTTTGGTTGCTGTTCGCAGAACACTCCAGTTTGTCCACATCTTTCCTAAAGTGTGGCACCCAGTATTGGGCATAGTTCTCCAGCTAAGGCCTCACCAGTACTGAGTAGAGTGGGACAATTACCTCCCATGTCTTACATATAACAATCCTGCTAACGCACCCCAGAATATTAGCTTTTTGCAACTGCATCACATTAACTCATGTTCAGTTTGTGCCCATTATAATCCCCAGTTCATTTTCAGCTGTACTGCCATCTAACCAATTATTCCCCATTTTGTGGTTGTACATTTATTTTTTCCTTCCTACATGAAGTACTTTGCACTTGTCTTGATTGAATTTCATCTTGTTGATTTCAGATCAATTCTCTAATTTTTTCAGGTTGTTTTGAATTCTAATCCTGTCCCCCAAAGCGCTTGCAGCCCCTCCCAGTTTGGTGTCATCTGCAGATTTTATAAGCCTACTCGCCATTTCGTTATCAAAGTCATTAATGAAAATAATGAATAGTACGGACCCCACTAGATATGCCTTGCTGTCTATCATTGCTTTCTACCCTATGATGTAGAGCTCTGTTATCTGATATTATTCCAAGATTTTGGTCAGGATTAATTGTAAAGAATTTTAAAATGTTTATACATTAACCTCTGATCTTTCTAATTCTTATAGTTGAAAACTAGAGTGAATTGTTTTGGCTTCTTTAGGTCATTCAGTTCTGTTTTCTTCACAACACCAGAAAGGCCAGAACATCAAAACATTTTAAGCCTTGTTCATTTAAAGCATGTATTTTAATTAGTCTTTTACCTTGCTTCCTACTTAATTATGTATGACCATTTCTATTTCCAACAGAATTATATTAATAATTAATACTTTGCAGTCATGTCATGCTGTTTATTCCAAGAATCTCAAATATCTTTACAATGAGGTGAACAAGTATTATTATAACTGTTATAAAGAGGGGGGGAAGTGAACCAGATTGGCTAAGTGGCTTGCGCAAGGTGTGTCAGTGGGTGAGACAGAGCTAGCAACAGACCCCAGCTTTTCAGACTCCTGGTAGCACGCTCTCTCACTGCCTCCTGTATATGTATTCATTAGAAAGGTAAACAAGAAACAAAAACAGATATTACGTCTACTCATATGTATAAAATAGCTTAACTTGTTTTACATTTTAAATACACATACTTATAAGATATGCTTGATCATGACTGACTGACAACAATCGTGAACAAATCAATACATTACTATTGCCAACAACACTGAGGTTTGGAGAAAGTTAACTTGTTAGATAATAATGTGTATATATCCTGAGCATTTTTACATGAAAGGTGAACTAAAATACTCTTTAGAGACATGTTGAATCTTCAGTTCCTATTCTCTCGTTACGCGCACAGTTTTTCCAGAATAGGGATCCTAATAATGAATAGACATTTTAAAAAGCAAAAAAAAATTGTTCAGAAGCCAAGTGATTGAGGCAATCAGGCCATAACAGAATACAATTGTAGTCTTCATTACAAAAGAAATGTATTTTAAAAATAAACAGAAAAGTTTTTACTTACCTGCTTAGACCCAAATTATCCAATATTTTAAGTGCTAATAGACTTCTTTATGC